TGTCTTTGATGATGATTATGATGATAATGTCAGCCGCCGAACCCTTTCCCAGCCTTGGAATCAAATCCGCATGCAACATCACTATGACTATGTATGATAACATCTCTTTTTTGGCTACACCTTCCCCCCTCGTCATATTCTCTCATCTAGTAATATGATTTCGTTTTCTCCTCATCTAGCCGCCTTGATGAACGGGACAAACGGCGCATCAAACGGGAGTTACTCAAAAAACTAGTCAATTGTGGTTCAATCCTCCACATAGGACTTGACAATGTGGGAACAAAGGTTAGCATGTTCATTCGCTGATTTCGCCCATTGGTTGCTTGCTTATATATTTGCTTCCCGAGCATTTTAAATTCAAGCATTTGAAGCCGGATTCATACAGAGGAGAATGTCGGTAGCTCAGATAGCGTAGATGGTCGTTGGCTTGTTCGCTGCAATCAAATTGCCCAGCTCAGCGAACAAGCCAACGACCGGATTCATACGTTCCTTCGCACTTAAGAAGGCGCCGGAAGTGGATTTTCAACGCGGTGATTGCAATAGGATTTTTCCTCGATGAACTGTTTTCAAAGACGTTCTACAGAGATAGAAAAATATCCCCTCCTCCTTCCTAGATATTGATTTTTCATGCCTCGTGTTGTATTCAATGGAATGGCGACTACTGAGCTATAGTAGGGGTAGTTGTTGGGACGCAATATGCCGTCAGCTGAGATTATTGCTCACTTTTGGGTTGCCTTCCCTGCAGACCCGATTGCCTAACAGTGTCTCAGCACTTATGCTTTTCTTGGTCTGGACAACAGTCGTTGCGATTTCCTTTTTAGCGCATAGCCGTCATCCCGTCCCCTGAAGATATAACACAGAATTCAAATCCAACAATGCTGTAGCCCACAGGTACACACCTGATGGTTTCCAATGTTGGAGAATGGTCTCTTGTGGTTTTATGGAAAAACAAATTCTAACCCAAGCACATGGCCGGGTGAGAAGCAGGTCATTTGCACTGACAAGCCGAATCAGATCGACCGGCCAAACCAACAGCTAGTTGGGGTAAAGTACATCTGCGCGGCCGTAGAAAGCAGGAAACACAAACCACGACGCAACACAGGTTGTGATCGGACCAACCAGAATCCCAGTGTGATGATTATCCATGGCCAATCGGATTGCAGCTCAAAGCTGCTATTCGTAAGTACGAAGAGAGGGACTATCCACCCAACTGCCCACTGGAAATGTCTCCCCGAACGGTGACGAAACGTTTGCAAATCGATTGCCAAGCTCGGTGAACAGATCAACAACCACGTGATCAGTTATCAGCCAAAATACATCTTTTACACCATTATTATACTTCAATCACTCTACAGTGAGTTTAAAACACGGACGACTTCAAGTACCTCTACAGTGAGTTTAAAACCCGGACGACTTCAATTAGGCAATCACCAGTTGTATGTCTCCTTCAATAAAATAACACATGGTATGTAGATCTACTTATGAACAACATATCACTGGAATTCCTTACAACGAACTGTAGTGACTATGGCTACTTATCGCTAAGACGCAACACAACCTGGAAGCATGAATTGTGTGGGGCTTTCGTAAAAGCACTTGAATGGGTTGTCAAAAAGTCAAATCTTTAGTCCATGCCAGTCTCGCTGTGTAGCCGCTACTCAAACCGAAGGGCGAAATACCCCCAGGGTTACTAAACCTTGGTAGGTTAACCAGTGTGTGCAAGACAAGTTTAGTGTGTTCAATTGTCGAAGGAAGGACAAATTTGCATTCAGTCACTTGGTAGATCCTGAACACGATTCATCATCACTAAAAGTTTTAGACTTCCAAACATACAGACAAGTTATAGCAAAATCTAGGGTGTTCCGAGTGTTCCAGTGACAACGCAGACCGCTCGTGATGTTGGTCATCCTGCTTCGATGGCTTCGTTATCCGTTTTGACAGGCGACCCCGAAAAACATTACCAGTCCACAACTTTATAGGCTTGCTCTCCCGACTCCTGGTTTCTTTGACAGGTCTGTCGCGCTTTTCGGAAGTCAATTTGCATTTGTTTAATGCACCTCAAGACTGAAAACGTGCCAAGGTGAAATTTCTCTGTTTAGGAGACTGTTCTACATAGTTTGTTTAAACCCAGTTCACCACCATTGGTGTTTTCTCGTCGTTCACAGGGCTTGGTGTACGTCAAGTGTGCCGATGCAGACACCGCGGGTCGGGTTTACCATGCCATCCACGCAAACTACTTTGACGGTGAGTCAACATTATCCACCATTGTGTTATTGTCGTATGGGGAGTCGAAGAAGACAACGTGCCTTTACTGTGTTGTACATCACCTATCTATCCCTAAATCGCTTTCGCTCTTTTTCCACAGGTCGTCTGTTGACCGTAAAGTTTTTGAGGGACGCCAAATATTGCCTCCGATTCCCAGAGGCACATGGAATTCATGTCCCACTGAATGTAGCCGATCTTGAATGAGCACGCTCTTTTTTCTACCGCCTTCTGTGCTGACGGCATCCTCCAACATCCCTCCTGTCGAACCGTGGCCATTAGTTACTCCCTTCATCCAAGTCGTTTATGTTAATATTTCATATCCAAGACCATTGTTTCCCTCTACTCAAGTCCCACACGTCTTGAATTTTTGTAAACCGAACTGAAGTTCATCCATAGGTATCCATTTTCTATACGCGCTCTTCCCCGTGTGTATGTTTCGTCCCCTCCCCCACCCATTGAATAGCCGTCTGTGCAGCTTTGTTACAACTGGTTAACATCTGAAACAGTTATAAGCATTTGTTCCATTGTACTATATACGTTTCTGCAAACGCCGTCCAATGTACTATTTGATAATCTACCAACACACTCGCTTTTCGTGCAGGTGTTTTTTCATTTTACTGTCCATATCGCTTATTTAGAGTGTGCCTGATCGGTAAACATCTCCGTGAGGTTAGAAAATAATGGCAGAACGTTCTCCCCGATCACCGTCATTTGGATAGTTGCTCCAAGAGTTTCTCTTGAGTCTCACGCAGCACGGCGTTGGGATCTTCCAGTTTGATCTGTCGTAGAACAAGGAGAGAGAAAACGTGCTTCATTCGCAGGCAGAGTTTTAATTGTGTGATGTAATACACACCCTCACTGACATGCATCACCCGTCGAACATCATTACCACTTCTAGCTTGGATTCACAGCAACTGCAGTGTAGAGCGGGAGAGTATCCTGAGATCCCTATCCGAACCTGTTCGCAATATAATGTATTACTTAAACTTTGCGGACAGTAATGTAAA